ATTCTCTTTGTTTCACATAGCTTGGTAATTCAAGGTGCAGAACACTGTCCCAGCTAAGTACTTACATTACTCAAGAGGAAATCAGCAATACAAAACTCAACAGAATATTGAACGGAAAACCTTGTTCAAAGCCCATGGCAAAAGAGGTTGACAAGAAAGTATGCTAGATTTTCAGAACCATGATACTAGCAAAAATCACTAATACCACGGGTCATGAAAAGATAAAATCCCAACCTACCCATATCATTAAAATTGATTTAGTATGGCTGAGTACCCTTTTGAAGCCATTGAGTGATCTAACCTCTTAAATAATTTTAAATGCTCAGTGCAGCTCAAGTGTTTTAAGAACTTATAATGCAGCCCATTGATAAGCATGCAGCATTCTAACAATACAAGCTGCTTAGGTGTCTTCTGTGGCATGAAGTATGCATTTAGAGACTGCAGGTGTGCACCAAGATGAACACAGAAACACATCCAACTGAATTATACTCAGCAAAGTTCTCAGAGCTAAGGATGTAGAAGCAGACTTCTACATCCTTTACTGTGACCTGAAGAGTAATTTCTCACCAGATATGACTGATCCCAGAAATACTACTTTTCTGACCCTTAAGAAGTGTTTCTGTTTCTATCCTTCTCCAGAGCAGAGGACAGACCTGGAGACCCTCTTCTCTCCCTAAACCTCACTTGCTTCTAAACAAAGCTGCAAAGCATAGAGCAAGTTGTAGTTCCACTGTGTCTCAGAAATATATGCTTATTAAGAAAACAAAGCAGTCTTCCAGGGAGCACAGGGCCCTGGGTTAGAAGATAAATACACTTCAGAATGAGTTTCTTCCATCTTCTCTCTGACAGAGGAAGCAATTAAGAGCTTCTGTTTGCTTTGTCCAGTAGCACATGTTCTGCCTGCCACCCTTCTCTTTCATAAACATACATTATCCTTCAATTAAAGCTTGTTCCACAGGCCAAATGTTCTCCAGAACAATCCCAAGCAGCTCAGGTTAACTTGACAATTCACTTTCTTGCATGGTACTTTTTCACCTGGATACTCATGAGCCAGTTAAGGGATGTAACTGTTGGTCTGCTCCTGAATTCAGTGGTGCAGTCACCAAACCAGCTGTCCCCAAAGTGCAGGGAGAAGTGCCTTTGCATACTCTCCACATTCTCTCTGTTTTCAATAAATCAAAAGCACAAGATACAAACCCAGCACATTTCTGTTTTCTTCCATTGTATTGGTGAGGCAATCTAAAAAATGCAGATGGAAAGCAGCTGGCACAGAAGGATACCCTTGCTCATCACGGTGTAACTAGCTGGGCTGCAACACTGTCCACAAGAAAGATTCAGCAGAAGGGATGCTAAAGATTCCCCACAGACACCATTACAGCCTTTTGCCTCTGCACATACCAAATTTTCCAACATCATTCAGAACAAACTAGTTTAAATCCTCCTAACATAATCAGCACAACAAATAAAACAACCAGCACTGTAGACTTTCTCCTCAGGGACAGTAAAAGCAATCTAGTTCCCTCACAGACCATATCATGCTCTGTATAAACAAGAATAAAACTGGAATAACTCTGTTGACTACGCTGGACTTATTCCAACAATACACTAATCAAAATGAGATCACAAGTTAACTCAATATACAAATAGTGACAGCTGCTGGTTTCTATAGCAAAATATAGTAAATAATTATAATGAGAAATACAAGCAAAAGCAACACCTATGTATGATTCCATTACATGTTTCCAGGAAAACTACAGGTTTGTAATTCTCATAATTCAACTCAACTAAATGAATTACATCCAAGCAGCATATCCAGCAAGAAAACACTATCTCAAAAACAATCAGAGAAGCAACAGAAATTCCAACCTAACTTTTTAAAAATTAAAACACCCATGGCTTTAAACAATTTAAGAAAACCACTGGTTTTCAATACCTTCAGTATAATATTAAAGAATATGATTTTCCTATCAGCAGTGTATATAACCATAAAATCAAAATCTTATTTAAGTCACTAACAACTCATTTTCATTCCATGAAGGCGTTTTAAGCAGATCTCAGCCTTTTCTTACATAAAATTCAAGTAAGACAATCTAATTCATCAGTAATGTCCTCAAGATGGCCTCATATATGCAATGAATTAAACACGCTCAAGTATTTTATTTTTTCAAAGTGGCAAAGACTCACTACATCCCAATCATATTTCCCAGATGGTGTCATGAACCTCTTAACACTTCATTTCCATCATGTTCCATGTCTTGAGAAACCTGTTTTCAATCTTTCAAACACAAACAGGGCCTCCACCCTCTGTCCCCTGATGCGAGATTCAGCAGTCCCCAGCCAACATATTCTTCATATTCTTTTTAGGATGAATAAATTAATCTCTTCCCTCATCAATCACATAGAAACCTTCAATGACAGATTCATGTTCTTCAAACCTCTTCATAAGTATATTATTTATGTTTTCTATGAAGAAATGGAGGACATGCATTCATCAGAAATAAGCAGCTCCAAGCCAGTGTAAGAAAAGCATCTGCAAAGCTTACTTGGCCCTACTCTTGCTCCCAGTGTACTGGAGTTGTGACCTAGAGATACTGCTATCTAGAGCCCTGCTAACCCTCAGCTCCACTTGCTTGAAATGAAGAGCACTAGAGGCACCTAAATTCAGTCCTGAGGATTTGGCTCAGTGTCTGTATGTGATAAAACAGAATGCACTGATCTGAGTTGAAGCTCTAGAAGCTGAAATTCTATCTTTATACCTCCTTTGTCTTGCATCCAGTCCTTTGATTTTAGCAAAACATTCCTGTTGAGGAGTGTTTTCTCTGTTCAAGTGTCTAACCAACGATGACTTTGCATCTCCCTGTTACTGTTGCCTTTTGAGATTCACGTTGTACTCAACTTCAACAACAGAAAATTTTCCCTCTAGTGACACAATAAACCATTTCATTATAATCAAGCTCTCTGGTTCCCACTTTGCATCAGAAACCTAGGACTAGATGGACCATCCAAGTCCCTGAATCCAGTGCTCTGCATACACAGCTAGCTATACACACAGAAATCAGCAGAAGGAGCTTCACAGAGTATGTGTTCCGCATAGCCCTATCTACAAATCACAAAACACATTCAGCAGACCATAGTAAGCGTCAGAAGTTGCCATAATTATGATGTGTGACATTTGAATGTGAAATTCAAAATTTAATCTTTCTTGTATATTGATGCCAGAACTTAGAATTCCAATGTTTGTCCCCAAATATTTCTTGTCCCAGAGTGCCTGTGTAACAAAATTCATGAACAATCAGTGGAGCTAGCTGGACTGAAAACAATGTTTTTGAAATCAACATTCTCCCAGCTGACGACAAGACTGCAAAACCAGGTCTTTCTTCCTCGTCCCTCTTTCTCACACTCCTAGCTGTACAATGGGGTTTTTTTGACAAGTTCTTTTTCAACACCTCTGTCTGGGAACCTGGTGATTCTGGGGAGAGAGAACTGTGTGCCTGAAAAACCCCACCAAGAGTCAGGAAACAAAGCTACTCACCACTTGCCATCTGGTAGATTAGTTAGGATGAGGACTTGCATTATTACGAGGAATTCTGTTCAATGTTTTAAAAAAATACTCATGAGTGCTCCAGTTCCAGTAGAAGATGTTGGGTACTGGATTCCAAGCTGGTAGATATATTTGCCCTCCTGCCATTGATGCAAGTGCCTCAGCTCCAGAGGAACTCACTTGCCTTTTTACAATAAAATTCCCACTGACTTGCAACAAGAATTTCCCTTTTCATTAGGCAGGTTCTGACCATTCATCAGAGTTGCCTAAAGCACACTTTATAGGTGCTTCATTCTGGCCTAGGATTCCCTCTTGTGCATTTAAAACTTAATTCCTTCAGTTTAGCTTGCAGAACTCTGTATTTTGCTAGATTCATCTCTACCTGACTTCTGTGGGAGCCAAAATATGAAGCATAAGAAAGGAGAACACAGGAAACTGGTAAGCAGTTTTACCATCATCTGCCCAGAGCTCTAAGGTTCCATCCTCCTTCTGTCACAGACTTGCTACCTCCTCAAAGAATTGTGTTCGTACTCTGCATCCTGGGGATCTACCCTGAAGAAATGCTGGGCATTCACAGCTACCTCTAAACTTGAGCATTTTACATATTTGAAACACATACAGTGCCTTATGTGGACACCTGCCCCTCCTGCCATCTCCAAAATAGCTACTGTTTGGTGTTTCAGATATGCAGCTTTGTAGCTTACTGATTTATGACTACCACTGGTAGCTCCCCTGCCTACAAAACCAGGATATAGTCAGACCTCATCTCAGAGGGGTTTCAGTTCATTGTAGATTAATTACTTGCATTTGACCTTTCAGCGACAGGTTTTGCATGAATAAGTAACACTGTTCTCAGGTCTGAACAGTGTGAGACAAACAATGCACAGAGCCAAATTGCAACTTTGCAAGGAGAAAACAGAATACTTACAACCTGCTTATTAAGTTAGCAGCATTCACTACCTGCTTCAGAAAAAAAATGTTACTAAGTTTATGATCAAGTAATTAAAGACTGCATTCAATTGCACATATACCAGGATGGGAAATTCAGTCTGTATGGGCAACAGTCCACCTGATATTTCATGTTGCTTTCAAAATCTTATAAATAAATGATCTCTTAAGTTAATCTTTATGTACATTACACACACACAAGCATTCACTACCTGCTTCAGAAAAAAAATGTTACTAAGTTTATGATCAAGTAATTAAAGACTGCATTCAATTGCACATATACCAGGATGGGAAATTCAGTCTGTATGGGCAACAGTCCACCTGATATTTCATGTTGCTTTCAAAATCTTATAAATAAATGATCTCTTAAGTTAATCTTTATGTACATTACACACACACAAGTCGGGAGT